AAATAACCTGTGTAGTTCCCTCAATATAAAATAGGGATCAAAATATTGATCAAAGCTTCAGTATCAAGATCCCCCCAGTGCCACAGAGATGCCTGGAATGGTCCCTCGGTGTGAACAGTAGCTCCCAACAGTGCAGTGCTATAAAAGCTTAGCAGTCAGCTCTCTTGGGGAAATAACTGATTTATAACATTTGCCAGTTTCCATGGTAGAATAATATAACCACTTTGTAAACTCAGAAACTTAGATGAGGATGTAGCTCAGTAACAGCATGTTTCCTTGGCATGTGCAACGCCCTGGGTGAATCCCCAGCACATCCCTCTCCCCACCCTACCTCACACAAACTTAGATAAAGTGTAGACCCCTGGGAACATTGCACAACACAGTTGTACTTACATCCATGCAAGCAATACACTCATAGACATTAAATAAAAATAATAAACCCACAGAAAGCAAAAATGACCAAAATCAATGTAAGAAAAGAAAAGAAACAGAGTCCTGTTTTTGTAAAGTAAAATGAGTTCATAATTATAAGTCTGGATAGCTTTACTAGATATATTTATCACTTGGATAAAGAATAAATAACACTAGTGTCACACAAAGGCCTTTAGAAAACAGAAGAAGAAACTCTTCCAGCTCACTTTTTTTGAGGTCATTCATTATCCTTTTACCAAAATGGGATGAAGACATCTTGAAAAAATAAAACTATAGATCAGTATACTCCATGAATAGAGATGGGGAAAGAATTAAATTTGAACAAAATATCAGCAAGTTGAACCCAGCAGCATACACATGCAAATTATAATACATGATAACCAGCCATGAAATGTTGGTTTGACATTCAAAATCAATCGATATGTCATGGTATTGACAAAATATAGGAGAAAACCTTTTTTTTTTTTTTTTTGGTCTTTTTGAGACAGGGGCTCCCTGTAGCCCCAACTGTCTTGGATTCAGCATGGAGACCAGGCTGGTGTCAAACTCACAGAGATCTGCCTGCCTCTGCCTCTCAGAGTGCTGGGATTAAAGGCATGGGCCACCTCGCCCGGCTAGGAGAAAAACTTTTAATAATTATCTCAAGATATGCAACAAAACCACCTGAAAAAATTAGCGTTTACAGTAAATGTGTATGTGTGTGCGCGTGCACGTGCCACCCAAGTAAATTTAGATGAGATTTTCCTTTCCCTTTCCCCTTTAACTTTCCTTGGCCCCTCCCAATCCATCTCTCATCTAACCTCATGTCTTTTCTTTTTTAAAAAAAACAACAGCCCCACTAAGTCCAATTGGTGCTGTGCTACCGGTATGTACATGAGTGTAGGATTCACCACTGGGACGGGGGCAACCTACAGTGGAAAAGTGGCTGTGTCTCCTTCAGCAGCCATCTACTACCAACGGCCACTCTTAAGTGCAGCCTCTGGCGCTTCTCCCCATCCTTGCTGGAATTTTAGCTGGCTTCGTCTTGTGGAGGTCTTGTGCGGGTACCCGCAGCCGCTATGACTTCCTATGAGCAATAGCCATGCCACGTCCAGAAGACAGCGTTCACAGCCCTCCTCCCCATCCTCTGGCTCTCATATTTTTCTCCTCTCTCCCTGATACTCCCTGAACCTTGGGGAGGAGGAGTACTTGGCTGTGGATGCAGTGTGACCTGCTGCTATGACCCCCCCCACACACACACACGCACAGTGGATTGTACCCTCCAACTGTGAGTCCAAATCAACCCTTTTTTAAGTTGCTTTTGTTAGGGTATTTTATCACAGCAACAAGAAAAGAAACTAAGGCATCATCAATCAAAGCAAATTATTTATTACAAACTACCTTGGAGTCATACCAGAGGAAGAAGCCTGGCATATACTCATATGGGTCAAGACAGGGAATTCCATGATCAAAGTTATCTGGGTGTGGTTTAGAAAGGGAATCATGCAGGCTTTGAATAGAGAAACCAATGAATCTGGACTATCCTCATTCCATGGGGGTTCCGGAGGCATAAGGTGGTTGAGGGGCCTATCAAAGCAAGAGCATCCTCGAGATCTCCCTTGAAGGATCAGATCACTGCAGAGTGAGACCTGGGACTCATCATAGCTGATAGATCTCAGGTGATATGGATGCTGCTGTTTTGTGGACCATACTGAGTATCCAGGCTGTAAAGCATGTGCCTAAGTTTAAGAGTGACAGGATTTTGGACCTGATAGTGCATCTGGCAATTGAGGCACAGTATCAACCCTATTTGGATTTTTCTTACTCGGCTGTCAAATCTATACAGAGAGAAGAAAGTGGAAATAGGAAGGCTGTTTTTCATTGAGTGTCTGTCTGACTAGTAGGCTTCTTTGTGATATCTCATGTAACTTACTGGCAATTGCCCCTTCCCAGGTAACAGCTAAGGAAGGCTGGTCAGTCACTGAAGGACACTCTTCCAGTTCTCGTAACACTCTCATCTTCAATCTTCTCAGCTGTGTACCCCACAGCACTAGGAAACTCCCAGCATCCTCTTTCTGAATTCTTTCTCAGGAACCTCACAACAACGTTGGGAAATATCTTGGTTGATTCTACTATGAAAGTGTGTCATTAAACCTCAGCAGAGCCATCCCTGACTCCTGCCAGTCTTCCTTTTAAATATTCCTACTGACCTCCTCACACATTATCCACTACAATGCCGCAAATCATTGCCATTCTGTGCTCAGCCCAGCTTCAACTGTCACACCTTAGAGAAGGGGAAAAGGCTTTGGGCTCCTCATCCTAACCCTGTTCTTCTCCTAGGTTTTGCTTATTAGGCATCCCCTGTCTATCTTTCTCCACTAAAAAACCCTCCTGTTTTCCTTTAAGGCTTCTTACGATCTTCCCTCCTGCCCATTATCACAAGGTAGTCTTCTTCCACTTTCCTCCCTGCTCCCAGTGTCCTTCTTGCAGCCTGAACCTTACTTCACCAAACTGTTTAGTTTGCCAATTTGAAGATCATTCAGGAAAGGAAGTTGGCCTGCTTTTTACATTGTTATAGGATCATATGTATTCATATACATCAATACATCTGTATTTATAAGAGCATGATAGTTTTTAAATTTCCTTAGCTAATTCTTCATTAAAAAAGGGACAAACTAATTGCTTTTTAGATTCTCTCTCCATCATTACCCAAATTAGTGAGATCAAAGTTAACAGTTATTGTGAAACTCCATTTATGTATGTGTAACGTTATGTGAAGACAAATGCTAACGATGCAAAAAGAAAACCTTCATTTCTCTTATATCTGAATGAAAAATGCCATAATCTGTATTCTGGCCCGCTTTAAAGAGATGTTAAGAGGTAACATAATAAAAATTTAAAGCAGCTATCAAATATGTACTTTATGAATGCAGTTCCCATGCACATTCAGTCCATTTGAGGTCTAAAGTGATGAATAATTCAAAATCATGGACAATTAAAACATTATTCATTGGACTTGAAAAGTTTTAGCAGTTAACCTTGAGCTAATAATAGTTTTTTTTCTTTTGTTTTAATCTTGTACATTTATAAGCCAATAGTGAAAAAATTTTGGCCCCAAAGCAAAATAAATAACTGAGGAGCCTACTTGCTACTAAAACAATGAATGTAGCCTTAGAGTTGCCTACTTATTGATTAGTCATTGCATTTTATAAATGAGTGAATGTTTGCAACTTTTGAGATTTCAAGGAAGATTCCCACTAAGATTGTGTAACAGATATGATTAAGAAAGAATTTTGGAATCTTTTTGATTTCTGGTCTTGAGCTACCAAGTATAATCTAGTATCTTATTGAAAGTGACATTAAGTTATTTATTACTTGCATTAATGTAATTTAGGAGCATGGATAACCTGTAACTATTAAAGTTTACATTTTTCCAATGTTTTAGGATTTTCTTTTTGCGACCTTACTCTTTTTTAAAAATTAATTTTTTATCGAATATTTTGTGTATTTTATACAAAATATCTCAATCTTACTCTTTATACCCCCGTCCCCTCTGGCACCATCCCATAGCTTCTGTACTGGAACCCATATACTCTTGTCATCCTTATTAAGGTCCACTGTGTCAAGTCAGTGTCTCCAGACATTCCCCAGTACAAGTCCATCCAGTGAGGTCTAGTCAACCCATCTAGAGTCCCTTGTTTTAGGAAGATCAGCTCTTCCTCACCCAGCTGTAATCTTCTCTACAGACACATTGTTCCCACCTTCTGGGATTATTTCCTTTTTCAATATATATATATTACAAAAACATACACCTTTTCTTTTAAATTCTGTGCTGGAGGTTGAGACCATGGGCCATTTCTTTCTTTTTATCTAAACTTCTTACTTAGTTTGAAGAATGCTAAGAAGTGAAATACTCCTATGGTTTTCTTCAGATGAGTGTGTGGTTAATGGGCCCAAACAAATTTCTAGAACCCAGATGAATTCAAAGTTTCCAAGCCAATTAGGGCTTTCCTTTTTACCCTCCATATACCATACTGCTGGGTGTAGCTAAGCCCTGACTGAGACTGTATAAATTAACACATTTGTTTGGGATGTAACTTGGGGACATGTGATAAGAAGTAGCTTTAGTGCTGTTGCTGGTGAGATGGAAACTTGAGGAGGTGAACAGTAATTTAAACCCATGACAGGATCCAGGAAAAGGGACATGCTCCACATTGTTTTGAATGTGGGGAGTGAGACCCACCCCCAAATATTCATCAGTGAACTTTTAAACTCTCTTAAGAGGGATCAGACTGGCCCAGTCAGCCCTGAGATGGTACACTTCCTCACAATAGGCAGCTTCCCTCTCCCTCAAAGCAGGTTCCTCTGCCCCAGAGAACACAGTTGAAGACCAAAGTGAAATCTGATACCCAGTGGTCACCACTAACAGAGGGAAGCTCAAACCACTTTTTTTTTTTTTCCTAGCCATTCATTGAGATACTGCTGTCTTAGCACAGATTCTAAATTCCCTTGGGTTCTTTAAATAGGTAACCAACCAGTTGTGTGTTGTAAAGGGTGAACTTGAAATGAAAGTTTCTTTTCCCTTTCAGTTCGTTGTTACGGTGTTCTGGACCATCTATGCTTATGACAGAGAGATGATATACCCGAAGTTACTTGACAACTTTATCCCAGGGTGGCTAAACCACGGAATGGTAAGTGGATTAAACAACTAGCTTCCTCTGGTTGAACAAAAATCTGCTAAAGAATATTCTTGAATTTAGACTTGGTATCATATGTATGTAAAGAGCTGTCAAATCTTGGAAGATTATAATGAGAGAAGAATACTGGTTGTAAATGAAATTTCTTTCTATGGGGCTGTCATTGTCTAAGCTGTGTAGTAGATAAATCCACTGTTTTAGGTGGGGCCAATGGTGTTGTCATACAACTAGCTCATTCCTGGATTAATATGATTTCTGTGCCATTAGAAGCTTGTCCTCACAGCCTACACTCATCTCCACCTTCAAAGCCATTGGAAAGGCCATTTCCTCCAAGAGCTATTACAGACATTTGAGGTGTCTTTAGCAATGGACTTGTTTGCCTTGTCAAAGTCCCCCCTTGCTGGGTGTTTTGCCTGAGATGTTTTCCCTCTTTTCCACCTAATTCTTTCTGGCCCTTTAGCTGTGTGCTGTTACCCTCATTTGTTGCAAATCAAACACTTTGAATGGTTTGTTCATCACTTTACAAGAGTTAAGGGTTGCATTTTCTGCAAAGAAATTTTGTGTCCTCTTCCTTTTCAGTTTCTAGAATTGAGTACAATTTTGTTATTAACAAAAAGCCTGCATCGTAGTTACAGCAATTTTTAGAATAATCCCAGGATGTTCCCGTTGAAAAGGGCAGCCTATTATAGAAATTATAGGGGAAGGAAGAACTAGAAATCACGAGTTGTAGGTCTAAAACAAGTTTCCCTTCTGTTTCCACTTGTGGAACATTTTCAGAAAAGCACTGTGTACTAACAAACATTACTGTATTGAGGTATTTGAATCTATCCTGTCTTGAAGCCAACCCATCAAAAGTGACATGTATCAGGCAATTGAATTTTCTATCTTTAGTTAGAGATACTGAAGAATTGACCTGTTGATGGAATTTCTAACATATAAGGTAGGAATTTTGCCCCCCTAAATCCTTCTTCTTGTTCTCTGGCAGACTCCCGGTAATCTTTATGTAGCATTCCCTAACTCCACTAGGCAAAGTTAGCTATTCCTTTTTTTAAAAAAAATTATTTAATAACCACATACTTAGAAGAAGGTTTACAGTTGAATTATTACAGTTATACAATATTGTACTCAGTATAAACTGAGAATAAATGAGGTTTTAACCTTTAAAAAAGATCCCCATTTCATTATTAAAATACACAGTTTCATACACAAAAATTAATTTTTAATGCAATTAGCACTAATATGTTTACACATACGTTTCTAATCTCTATATATCTGATTATTACTAGTCACAGTCGGTTACTTTCTGAGCTCCTTGGCATCTGAGCATGGATATAAAGTCGTCAGGCAGATTTCAGTGGTAATATTTTTCACATCTACTAATTATTAAGGAGCAGATTCTTATGCTTTGAAGAATTATTATTTTTTAATCATTTTTAAAAAATTTTAATCTACATGATTAGACAAAGCATTTCACTACAGCTTTAACATATTCAGTAACACACTCCAGAGCAAGAATACATCTCTTTCACAAGTGGGTGCAAGTTTCTAGGTTCACAGTTGAGTTAATACACTTATACAATATTTAACTCAGTATAA